ATTTTCACTTTATCTTTGGCATTAGTGGCCAGTGCAAAAATTTTAATAGTAGTCATTCTAACCGGTCTTCCTTGTATGTATAAGGAGATTATCCTGTCACTGACAGCATTGCACTTTTGAATGGATCTTGAAAAGTTTTTTCAAATGAATGTGACATCATTCCTCTTCCATTTGTCATTTCCTAGTATAGTAAACTATATAGTTGATTCACAATGGCCAGTATCAGTTTATTTCAGCTCATTCACAAAGGCTAAGTATCAGTCATTATGTGTTCTGTGTCATTTTGACAACTTTTCATTTTCCTAGGTTCATACTTCATATTAGTGGATTTTAATTTGCCAATTCAAGTGATCAAAAATTGATTAAATGACACTGAGTTGAAAGACGGTTTCCATTAAGGAGAATTAGTTTGAAATATCTCAAAGCAGATAATTGTGTGCAAACATTAACAGAAATGACAGGTTTTGATAATCTCTAATGTCACCATGTTAATTTCAGAAATCCAGGAGCCCCATAAGAACAGATAGATTCTTAGCCTCTCACTGCCCAGAGGATGACCTGTCAACAAAGCATTGCAGGAAGTTCCAGGCATACTTTAAAACAGTTTGGAAAGAGCCTGGAAAACTTGGATTGCTGTCAAGGTTATGATGATGGGGTATCGTGGGATAGGGCTCAAGATTCTTGGGCTGATGGGAAGTTAAAAGAGTGTGCAAACTATTTACTTGTCTGTCAATATTATCTAAACCTCTGTTACATGGGGGTGGGGGGGATTTAATGTCAGCTGAATCCGACTCTGGCTCCTTGAAGCACAGCAGATTTGAGGGCTGAGGGCAATTTTGGTGTTCTTTGGGCCCCACGTGGGGGTCGGCAGAGCGCTCATGCCAGATGAACTGGGGGTCTGGCGGAAGGACTTTGCCAGCATTTGGGCGTGCCAGGTTGGTGAGATCCTGAAGGGCCCTTGGGCCTGCAGCCTTTGGGCCAGTCTTTCATTGTTTTTGTTCAGACATTCCTCTCGGTCATATAGCCCTGGTGTACAAGTTGCCGTACAGCGGTAACTTGTGGTTGCTGTGAGGCTGAACACTGTGACACTGATATGTCAAATGTGTTAATGGCTGGTTACCCAATGTGGACAGAGAGTGGGGTGGAACTCCCCAATTAAAACAGCTTGGAAGGAGGAATGGCATCCACTTCCAGCTTGCCTCCGGAAACCCTATGAACCTGGAGAGAGGATGAGAGACACCCAAACGTTGAGGACTCTCCTTCATAGGGTCGCTATGAGTCCTGCGACTTGACGGCACTTAACAACAACATTATGTTGGGATCATGTGGCGCTGTATTGATAGCCTCTAGTTGTGCATAGGGTCGCTATGAGTTGCAAGTGACTCGACGGCACATAACAACAACAACAGTTACAAGTCTCCAGGTACTTCAGAATAGTGTTCCTGAGATCACAGTTCTTTTGTCATTTCTATGAAATGGGGATTTTAAGAGTTTGACGTTTTAGTGAATGTTCTTTTCTGAGAAAGGATAGTGGGTGTTTTTCTTACACTCAGGATAACTAGCACTTCCCTCTTCCCAAAATTATACTTCTGGAAGTTTCTTCCCAATGAATGATTTCCTGTCTCCGTGCATCAGAGGTGGTGTCCCTTCTTATTTCTTAAAGCATCTTAACATTTGTCCTGTGTAGTTAGGGAGCTCTGGTAGCTTAGTGGTACGGACTCAACACTGCCAACACAAGGTACTTTGTCTCCACCAGCTGCTTCAAGGAGAAAGATGGGCAGTCCCCTGCTGTGTGATTTACTGCCTCTGAAACCCCACTGGAGGGTTAATTATGGATTGGTTCTGACTCATTCGTACACAGCAACATCCCCACCAATCAGAGGGATGTTCCTTTGCCCTGTTGTTGTTGTATAAAAGAATTAGCACTTTTAATTCCTTTTTGTGGTTGTATTTTTGTTAGTCCACTTCCTCTGAGGGGAAGGTTTGGAATTGTCTTATGATAATTTTATCTCCAGTACCAGGCACTTTAGAATGCAGTATGCACCTTTGTCTGTATCCAGGTGTGAAGAAATAAGATTTTGCCTAAACTCTCCTCTTACCTGCACCCCAAAAAGATCACAGAGAGGTTCACTTTCTGGATAGGATGAAATAGACTCTTCAGCATCCACAGTCTCTACAAAGGGCATGGAAGAGTGCCACTTGGGCTTACTGACCTTGTTTTCTAACTACATTAAGAATAATCTATCACTTGGCTGTAGTCAAGGAGAAAGAGAATGAATGGTCAGTTAGAGAATTCCTAAGGAGTGTTGTTTCTTGGAAGAGAATAAGCACTTCATTTCTAGTGAGTCCAGGAAGTAAAATAGACAGATGTTCATTGGTTCCAAGCTCAGCACTGGAAAGTGGTCCACCTGGAGGCCATGGCGGGCTCTTTTCACTGGTGGCCAAGTGGGTATGGAGTTGTGCTGCAAACCTGAAGGCACTTGATTTGAATCAATAGGCCACTTCACAGAAGAAAGACAGGCCTTAATATCACGAGAGAGAGATATGATATGCTAAATAGGCTTTTTAGAATTTTGTAAACCCTAGAGTTTAAAGTGTACTCTTGAGGGGAAAAAATGGATTTAGAGTTTGGTAATTTTTTTGTTAAATTTGTCCTTGTTTTTCTTCCCACATTACTTTTATTTCTATTGAGGTTTAATTTATTGAGCTTCATTGAGGTAAAAAGGTATATATCCTAAAACTCCATGTTTGTAGTATATCAACATGGTTTATTAGCTTTCCTCACCCCGGAAGCCCTGTTGTTCCCATTTGTGGTCCCTCATTTCATCCCTAACCCTGTTAAACAGTAATTAAGTTATCTAGTGTTGCTATTAGAAAGAGCACCAGTGGATGGCTACATTGTTGTTGACCCCTTAGTGGGTTTTCAAGGAGATTACCCATCTTTCTCCTGCAGAGCAAGTGGCTGGTGGATTCAAACCATGTACTTTTGCTTTGGCAGTGCATTTCCCTACCACTAAGCCATTATAGCCATAGTAAACTTTTTTTCTCATGATTTAGGAGGCCAAATGTGAACTCAAGGTGCTAGCTATAAAGGAAGGTCGCTGTCTCTTTTCAACATCTTTGTATTTCTTGGAAATCCCTGTATGCCTTGCCATTCTTCTTCTTCTATGTCTAGGAAGTTTTCAGCACAGGGACTCTAGATTAGGGCTTATAGCACACCATAAAGTGGAGAATAATTACAGCACATCACAAAACAGAGGACAGCCACACGATGCTGGGAATCCTGGCCGAGTTGACACACATTTTGGGGGAGTAGCACAATCAATCCATGACACCTGCTTTTGTTGCTGTAGATTGTAGCTTTGTGGGCTATTCCATATCATATAAATGGAAGCATACAGTGACAGCATTTCTGCAACATGCAGCAAATTTCTAATGATTTTGAGATTGATCCTTAATGGAATATGTATGGTGCCATAGTTGCCAATTATTGTTCCTTTAGGAGCAGTGGTGGCACAGTGGGTTAAGTGCTAGGCTGCTAACCCACTATCTGTTAAGCAATCTGAATCCACCAACTGTTAAGCTTCTGCTTAGAAAGATGAAGCTGTGTGCTCTCATTAAGATTCATAGCCTCATAAACTTACTGAGGTGTTTGCACTCTGCCCTGTGTGGTCCCTGTGAGTGAGAAGCCACTGGAAGGAGCGCAGGTGAGCTTTCCATCGTATGCGGATACTGATCCCGTACAACCATTCAGCAGTTGAGGTACCCAGTGGAGCGTTCCCATTGTTTAGCATATCTCCCTCCGCTCTTAATTTTTTAAATAGTTGCCTATGTTTGTTTCATAAATTAGAAAAAGTTTCTGGAAATGCTGACCAAGAAAACAAAAAGATCTAAGTACATAATAATTGATGTCCCTCAGCAAAACAGCTTAACGAGGGTTAGTGATAACTCCCAGCTGGGGGCGCTGTGTGTAAGTGCTAGGTTTTCAGTGGACTGCTCTTTATTAACTGCTGACGAGACCTCCAGCACCAGCTCTGACCTCATGTCTCAGCCTTACCTTTCCCCTGCTTACACTGGCGTTTGCATCACCCGTTTCTGAGTCTGGTTTGTGCAGGCTTACATATACTGAAAGGAGCTCTGGTGGCCTAGCAGATGAGGAGTCGTGCTGCCAACCCAAGGGGGCAGGTGGTTTGAGTCCACCAGCTGCTCGATGGGAGTAAGATGGGCAGTCTCCTCGTGTGTGGTTTTCAGTTTCTGAAAACACGTATATTGTGTTGTTTTATTCATAGCTAGTTTAGGATTTAGCTTTGCACATTCCAAGTCAATTATCACTCACTCACCTGCTTGCTAGCTTCTTAATGTTCCTGATGTCTCCCTTCATTCCCCTTTTACTTTTTGTTGGTTTATACTTTGAAAGCAACAGTTAAAAAGAACTCTACTGTCTACTTGATAGACAATAAAATTAAATGTGTAAGTACAATCTGTCCATAACTGGAATTCCACTGTTAAATATTCATTTGCCTTTTTCTTTTGTCCTAGCTTGCCTATCAATTCTGTTTTGAGTATCTTGGAGTTTATTCATTGTCTTCATGGAATGCAGGGCCCTAACAGATTCTTTAGGGTGATAGGCAACTCCCCACTCTCTGTCCTAACACAGGTCTTGAATGTTAAGAGGGATCCTGTAAGCAGTCAGTAGCAGTCCCCATAGGAGTGCATGACTTAGGTCTTTTTGTTTTCTTGGTCAGCATTTCCAGAAAATTTTTTTTATTTCTGAAGCAAGTGTAGTCAGCTATTTGAGAAAGTAAGGGTGGAGGGCTGAATTGGCAAGTCCTTCTTACTCAGCGGGTTCCTGTTAACGTGCCCATTATCAGAAACAGCACCGGCTTTAAGAGGCCCGACGTTGGCCATTCAGGTCTCTCTTGCCTTGTGCCCTTTGTGCTTTGACGCTGACTTGAGCTCTTCTGAGCCTTGACACTTTCCCTTTTTTTCTCTGTAGGATCATGGATTTTCCAGGACACTTTGAACAGATCTTTCAGCAGCTCAACTACCAGAGACTTCATGGCCAGCTCTGTGATTGCGTCATCGTCGTCGGGAACAGACATTTCAAGGCCCACCGCTCGGTGCTGGCAGCATGCAGCACACACTTCCGAGCCCTGTTCTCGGTGGCGGAGGGTGATCAGACCATGAACATGATCCAGCTGGATAGCGAGGTCGTGACAGCGGAGGCCTTCGCCGCGCTGATTGACATGATGTACACCTCCACCCTCATGCTGGGCGAGAGCAACGTTATGGATGTCTTGCTGGCAGCCTCTCACCTGCATCTGAACTCTGTCGTTAAGGCGTGTAAACACTACCTCACCACGCGGACGCTGCCCATGTCGCCGCCGAGCGAGCGGGCGCAGGAGCAGAGTGCGCGCATGCAGCGCTCCTTCATGCTGCAGCAGCTCGGCCTGAGCATCGTGAGCTCTGCCCTCAGCGCCGGCCCGAATGCGGACGAGCCGCAGGCGCCCCTGAGCTCGGCGCTGCGCAGCAACCTGGACCAGCGGACGCCCTTCCCCATGAGACGCCTGCATAAGCGCAAGCAGTCTGCAGAGGAGCGCGCCCGGCAGCGCCTGCGGCCCCCCATGGATGATTCGGGCATTTCTGATGTGGCCCCGGAGAGCGGGCCGGCTGGGGTGCATTCCCGGGAGGAGTTCTTCTCACCAGATTCTCTGAAAATTGTGGATAACCCCAAGGCCGATGGCATGACTGACAGCCAGGAAGACAACACCATCCTGTTTGACCAGTCTTTCGGTGCCCAGGAAGATGCCCAGGTGCCTAGCCAGTCGGACAATAGCACCAGCAACATGGCGCAGCTGGCCATGGCCTCTCGGGCCACTCAGGTAGAGACCAGCTTTGAGACGGAAGCAGCAGCCGAGAAAGGTGGCTTCCAGTGTGAAAACCCTGAGGTGGGGCTTGGTGAAGAGCACATGAGGGTGGTGGTGAAGTCGGAGCCCCTCAGCTCCCCCGAACCTCAGGACGAGGTAAGTGACGTGACCTCCCAGGCGGAGGGCAGTGAGTCCGTGGAGGTGGAAGGCGTCGTGGTCAGTGCCGAGAAGATCGACCTCAGCCCTGAAAGCAGCGATCGGAGCTTTTCGGATCCCCAGCCCAGCACTGACCGGGTAGGCGACATCCACATACTGGAAGTGACCAACAACCTAGAACACAAGTCTGCTTTTAGCATTTCCAGTTTCCTTAACAAGAGCCGAGGAGGTAACTTCAGCACGAACCAGAGCAATGATGATAATATCCCCAATACCACTAGTGACTGCAGGCTGGAGGGAGATGCCTCTTACCTGTTGAGTCCAGAGGCTGGGCCTGCAGGTGGGCCACCCTCAGCCCCTGGCTCTCACGTGGAGAACCCATTTAGCGAGCCTGCAGACTCCCATTTTGTCAGACCTATGCAGGAAGTCATGGGCCTGCCCTGTGTGCAGACTTCAGGCTACCAGGGTGGAGAACAGTTTGGGATGGATTTTTCCAGGTCTGGTTTGGGCCTCCACTCCTCCTTCTCCAGGGTAATGATGGGCTCTTCCAGAGGAGGAGCGAGTAACTTCCCTTACTACCGTCGCATAGCCCCCAAAATGCCAGTTGTAACTTCAGTGCGGAGCTCACAGATCCCCGAGAACCCCGCCAGTTCGCAGCTGATGATGAACGGGGCCACGTCTTCATTTGAAAACAGTCATCCTTCTCAGCCTGGCCCTCCACAGCTGACCAGGGCCTCTGCTGATGTGCTGTCCAAGTGCAAGAAGGCCTTATCCGAGCACAACGTGTTGGTCGTAGAGGGTGCTCGCAAGTATGCCTGTAAAATCTGCTGCAAGACTTTCCTGACCTTGACCGATTGCAAGAAGCACATTCGAGTCCACACAGGTGAAAAGCCCTATGCCTGCCTAAAGTGTGGCAAAAGGTTCAGCCAGTCCAGTCACCTGTATAAACATTCCAAGACCACCTGTCTCCGCTGGCAGAGCAGCAACCTCCCCAGTACTTTGCTCTGACCCTTCCTTCTGAGACAGTGCTCATGCCAGTGGCCGGGCTGCCGTGAAATCTCTGTTGGTCGGTGGTTAGTGTCACGGGGTGTGAGCTGCAGGCTGCGATGGCTCCTGCAAATTTATTAATGGAAACACTAATAAATGTAGCACTTGCACTGCTGCATTTCTCAGCAAAGTACACGACATGGTGGAGGGCTGCAGTCCACGAAACCAGTTTCTTCCTTAGAGCTGCATAATTCCAGTCATAAAATAGTTTGTTATTGATGTTAAAAGTGGCACATTAAAAAATTAAAATTGGAGTGCAAAAAAAGACACATTTTTAAATGCCATTTTTAAAAAAACTTTGTGACGCATTCAATTTCTTAGACCCTCTGATGCGGGAGAAAGATGTGGTGGCCTGCTCCCATAAAGTTCACGGTCTTGGAAACCCTGTGAAACAGCTCTCTTCTGTCCCTGTATAGTCACTGGGAGTTGGAATTGACAGCAATGGGTTTCTCTTACCCTCTGATAGGAATACTATAAGCTTGTACAGTGACGCAAAGCGCACTTACGTGTAACCAGTGGCAACTTTGTGCCTGTCTACAAGGAAAGCCCTTGAGGATGTGCCTGTCTGCCACAGATGCTTTGAAATGTATCATGAGCTAGTCTAGACCTCAGAAAATACTGTCTTTTTCTTTCTGTCTGATCTGCAGTCACAGATACTGCCCTTTTATGGTGCTGACACTACGTCTAGAGTAAGCAGTCTCACGGACTCTAAGGTGTATATACTTTGAATATATCACTGTTGGGTAGATTGTGTGGACACTTCCTGGGTTTGAATTTTGAAAACAAAGTTGTAAATGGAATACTGGTAGAGAGTGGCAAGTAAGGTCTTGTACGTGCTGTTTTAGCAGTATTTTAACAGACTTGTATCACACATGTAAAGTTCCATGTTTTGATGTCACAAAAGAGCTAGTGTTTGTCCTGATGCTGTGGAGTCATGCTTTGTGGGACCGTTCACGGCACACTCAACCTCTGCTCCCGCCAATGCTGGGGCCAGTCCCATCTGATGCATTTCAGCCAAGGACCAGCCCCACTCGCTGCTGCTTCTCTCCATCTCCTATGCCCTACGTGGCATCTTGCCTAGACCAGGCTTACTTATTTTATAAACTAACCAAAAAATACTGCCAATTTTCCTGCACTCTGGATTTTGTTGCTGACATATACTATAAAAGTATAGATCCTAGAGTTTTGTAGTTGTTTCTCCAGTCTAATACTGAATGTTTAGAATGATTTGAAATCTCATTGTAGCAATGTTCACGAAGATGTAATTTCCAGGCTATAGAAGGTTAGACAGCCCGAAGCACAGAAATGTCAAGTAGTATCCACGACCAGTAGAGGTGGTGTGGGTCACTCCCATGTCCTCCCCGGCCCCGCAGCTTCCCTTCCTCAGCCACAGTTTTCTCTCCCCTGACATCAAGGCTTTTGGGGGCCCCAACTTTGGGCTGAGCCTGGCTCGTGTGCTTCCAAGAAAACAGCAGAAGTTATTGCATCTCATGATCCATGAAGTCCTTGTTTGACTCATGCATAAACATAAGTTCATTTTCTTTTTTCTTTATACAGCTTTTTTTAGAGACAGCAAACCATTGTGCATAATTTAGAGAAATCCTCCAATTCTTGTGTTTAAAAAGCAAAAAGCTAAGTATGCCTGTGTAGCTGAAAATGAAAACTAGTGTTTTCTTCTCTTACTCCGCCATGTACAGTTACACGTGACCGTAAATGTCTAATGCTCACAGTGGGGCTTAGCATCCCCAAAGAACTGATTGCCAGGGAGGAAAGCCGAAAGGAAGCCTTGGCAATTCCTCTCCTTCCAAGCATACACGGTCAAAAGGCCTTTGGAGGCTGTGGCGCTGCCTGTGAAACTCAGATGTGTCTGTGGCTGTTAGCAGTCATGCTCTGATTTGATGTGAGGCGGCGACATCTAAAATGATGAGTGAGGTGCTTCATTTTGGAACTCAGATGGGTTGGCATGGAGGACAACAGAGGCCTTTCCTGGAGAGGAACTAGTGACATTAGGAAGAGCCTGGATAATGCTTCTTTCCTACCATCCGAGGAGATGGGAGCCTGCCCCTCACCTCAGCCTGAGCTAAGTGGACTCTGCTTTGGCAGTGTCTCTCACACAGCTGCTGGAGCCACTGCCTCTCCAGTGCTAGATGGAACCTGGAATCATCTACCTCTTAGTTCTACATGTGAGAAGCAAGCCTGCAGGCCAGTGCCCTTGGACAAGCTGTAGCACTTAAATCAAAATTCAGTGGTGCACTGGAAAGCCAGCTGCCAGGTTCCTGGGATCCATGGTTTCTACCTGCTATTCGCTGGCACTGGGTACCTGAATTTTATTTGATTAGCCTTAACTATAGCCTGGCATAATCACGTAGACTCTTTTCTGGTAATCAGATCATTAAGTTCTATCAGGGCATCCATGTCAGTGGTGCTATCCTGGTCAAAATTTGAAGTTTCAAAATAAACCATTTGTCATATTCTTGCCTCTAACTACATCTGTGTGGGGTTTTTTTCCTCCTTAGGCTATAAAGAGTGAAACCCAAAAGGGAGTTAGCATTTCTACCTGTGAAAGCTCTGCTCTGACCACTGTTTATTTTTCAACCAAGCATCCTAGAAAATACTGCTCTGAATTGATAGCAGTTGTGTGTAATTTGCCTCAATTCATTCCCCTTGCATTCCCTGCACCCTTTCTGCCTTTGAGCTGAGCCTGGATAAGGCTTTGTCCTCAGCATATCTGATTTTCTTCTTGAGAGCCAGCTTTATATTTTTTTCTGCTTCTCTCTGTACCTGCCTCTCAATTGTAAAATTCCATTTGTCAGCTTGACTTGGCTGTCAGGGAGGCCTGGATCTTAATGTCTTGGCCATGGACAGTGCTGCTGGACTGACCTTGGGGAGGGGTGTGTGGGCTGATGATTAGAAAAAGAACATTTTTTAAAAAGGCTGTAGGGGTGGGGTGGAGGAAGAGGTAGACAAAGGGAACAAGTGTGTGGGTGCTACAATGATGAAAAGAAAAACTCATCTGAGCCTCCAATTGTTTTTTTGCAAAAAAGATAACAGTCTTGTGGCTGTAACTACTTTTCTTCTTACACTTAACTCTCTTTACTGTGTACTTTTAAGTTTATCTGCTGATCTGAGCATCACAAGTTCCAGGGTTGCAGCTAGGCCGAGATCCTATCGTCAGTGAGAAATGAAGGGATCTGAGCAGTGAGAATGAGAGATCCTGTGGTTTCGACAGAGGTTCTGATAGTTAAAAGGCACGCGTGAGGCCTGGGGTAAGGGGCAGTCACTTGATCCCCAGACATAGAAAAGTAAGCAAGGTATCTGTTAGCTTCCCAATTTGAGGCCAAGATAGTCTCTCAGAATTATTTAATAATCGTATGTTTTGGGCTCAGATGTTTCCAGCCATGAAAGTGGCTAGCGTTTCCATCAGCACCAGTCTTCCCTCTACAGAACCAGTACAGTTCAGACATCTTCGCTGGCTCCCCTCCTGTGGGTCCAACTCGAGCCTGGGAGCACCTGACAGAATTCCCGGGCTCCAGCCGCCACTAGCCCTCCGCACCTCCCTGTCTGCTTACAGCTTGAGCTCCTTGGGCATTGGTTCCCCTCTCAGGCCAGCCAGCAAGTTGTTAGCTGCCAACAAGGACATGGTGTTACGGGTTCCGTGGGTGGCACTACCAATGTGGGGCAGGATCACTGGAAAGGAGAGATGAGAAGGAGGTAAGACGGGTGTTACCAGGACCTTAAACACCCATGGTTTGAGTTTTCTAATCAATAAAATTTGAAACTGCTTCTGTATTCATTGGTGTGCCTCCGCTTGTGTCACTAAGCACTCACTACCCAGGGCTTGGGGGCTAGAGAAACAGATTGTAGGCTACTGAAACCCAGACCCAGTGTGACTCGGTATCCATCATAAATTAAGATTGGGAGAGCTAGAAAGGATCTTGGGGCCTTTTCATCCCAGTCATTTAGTTAATAGATGGCAAATCCAGGTGCTGGCTGAGCGTTTTAACACTGACAGCCAAGCTCTGTTCCTCAAAGGGGTGCTTGGCCGTGGTGGTTCTGGTCTATAGAAACCACCAAATGAAATGCTGGACCACACAGCTCCCTCTCCAGAGCAAGGTCACTGATCCCCAAAGAACTCTTTGAAAGCCTTCTGGAGTCAACCAGGCCCAGAGTGGGTGGGGATGGGACAGTTTTCTCAGCTGTAGGCCACTGCCTTGACATCACAGCCAATGTTCCTTTCAGACTGGGTTAGGGGGTGGGAACAGTAGCACTTCCAAGGCCTGCAATAATGAGAGCATTCATTGTGGAGACAGCAGTTAAGGACCTTTTTCTGATGCCCTAGCATTTTAACTACCTTCTATTTCGGAATGTAACTAGAGCCCAGAAAAGCTTAGGTCCTACAGTAAAGTGTTACTCTGCAGACAGACCTCATCAGAGAATTTAAGGACTGAGTGGCTGAAGAGGAAAACAGAACAAACACTAAGGCAGTTCTCAAAGTGAGATCCCAGGACTAGGACTAGCAACATCAGCATCATCCAGAAATGTGCTAGGAATGCATGTTTTCAGACCCCACAAGAAGACAAATGGGCTGAGGACCAGCAGCTGCATTTCCTCAGCCCGATGACTGATGCACACAAAGTTGAGGACCTCTCTGCACTGAAGTATCACGGAGGTGGTGAAAGCAGGGAGCACCCCCTAGGGTCAGGGAACAAAGGGAACTGGGTATTTTGGACACATTTTAATCATTAAAATGCTAGGGGATGAGAGTGGAATTATTAAACCTAGAGAATTAAAGAAAAAGCCCCTTTGGAGCTGACAGACCTCTGTGGCAGGGAGGGACAAGAAAGAGCTGGCTGTTGCTAGTGCTTCTGAGAGGGGCACCATCAGGCTGGTTAAGCAAGTCCTGGGAAGCAGCAACTGGATTTACCCGCCTCTACAGGAAGAAACTGCTCCTGTGAAGTGAAGCAGCTTTGCTGTGGGACCACTCCCAGACTGACCAGTGACAGGTAGGAGCAAGTCCTGCATCCTTCCAGGCTGCCACCAGTGCCTCACCTGGACAGCTGGGCAAGGCCCTGGGGCCGGACCAGTGTCAGGGCAAAATACCCAGGACAGGTTTGCAGCGTAGAGAAACTAGCTTAGCCACACAGGTTACAAATGTTGGTGTTACAGTTACACTAGTGACTTCTCAACACTTCTCAAACAAGGGAGCTCGCTGGTGGCTAGTGATAAAGAGTTGTGCTGTCAACCCAAAAGCATGCAGTTCAAATCTATCACTTGTTCTTAGGGAGAAAGATGGGCAATCTCCAGCAAGATTTACAGCCTCTGAAAACCTGCTGGAGGGTCAGCTATGAGTCAGTTCTGACTCAACAGCACTTACCAACAACTATGCATGTAGACATTCAGCCCTTTAAAAAACAAATCTATTCACCTTCATACTAAGCTTTTTTAGGGACAAAAACGTAGCAGAGGATGCCCAGTGGGCGCCTTTCCCATTTACATACCCGTGTCAGGATGGACATAAACATTTAGGGTGCCTGGTATGGCTTGAATATTAGCACTGCTTCATGCTTGGCATCTCCAGACCACCGCTAAACACTCTGGTCTAAGAGGACAATGATTTACCTGAAAAATGGGATTCTTACCACAGTTCTTCAGGGTCAGGAGAGGGTGGTCTGTCGGCAGTGGTTCTGGGGTGGTCACATCCAGTCCTGCTGCTGCAATCTGACCAGTGGCTAAGGCCTCGTACAGGTCATCCTGGTTTACCACATCGCCCCTGCAAGTGACAGTGAAGATGTGGGTGTCCCAAAACACCCGCCCTCTGGCCGCTGCTGAGCAAAACAACTCAGAGAATGTGATTTTTTTCCACTGAGAGACACTTAACTTTTAAAGCATAACTGTCACCTATTTTTCTAGGACAAATTTCTGTTTGTTGTTCTTTAGATGAAATTTAGCCTTTAGGTGGATTACTAGAGGTGTCCCTTTCTGGCTCTGTGCCTCTCTCTGGAGCTTGAGGCAACCCAGCAGTACCCGGACTGAGTGAGTTGGGTTTGAGAGAGAGAAAAAGCCTTTTCCTACTTTTGCATGAACTTAGTTTTATCCTAATTTTCAGAAAATGCTTATGCTTCCCCTTTCTGCATCAGTTGTACATACTACAAAGAATGAAGTATCAAAAAGGTATGTAATAATTCAAAGCATGATGTCCAAGCAGCTGCCCACTCCAGTTGTCGTTATGTGCTGTCGAATCCCTTGCGACTTATAACCACCCTGTGTACAACAGCCCTGAAACCTGCTCTATCCTGTGCCGACTTTATTGTCTCCAACACACCTACCCTCATTACCCGAGTCACTATATCAATCCATCTCATCGATGGTCTCCCTCTCTTTCTCCATCCCTCCACCCTCCCCAGCATGATGTCCCTCTCCAAGGACTAGTTCCTCCTTGCAACATGCCCAAAGTATGGCAGACAAAGCTTCAGAATCCTTGACTCCAAGGAGAAGGCCATCTTCACCCTCTCTAGGACGAACCTGTTTGTTCTCCTGACAGTCCATGGTATACTCAATACTCTTCTCCAGCACCACAGCTCAAAAGCATCAATTCTCTATCATCCCTAGTCATTGTCAACCTCTCTGACGCATCGTATCAATTGTGAAGACTATGGCCTGGATCAGGCACACCGTAGTCTCCAGACTACTCCTATTCCTTACAAAAACATACACATAAAAAATAGGACAAGGTGGGGGGTGGGGAACCCAAGTAGAAACTGGTGGAATCCAGTGTCAGAATTCTGAAAGGCAGAACTAGTAAAAGGGGTCCAGCAATTAAATTTAAAAAGGCAACCCATCTGGAAGGCGAGCCTTGGTTTGCTCTGTGCTGTGCCCTGCCTCCTGCTGGCTCAGATGGTTATCTTAAAGCAGTATCAGCCCCCACAGAGAGAGGGGCCTGGTCTAGCTCCAGGTGGAGAAGAGCAGACTGAACTCAGATGATTACGTGCATCTGTTCTAACCTGTCTGGGGGCTGCTGGAAGGATTGAAGCAAGGCACCTGTCTCAGTCTGGCCTGGCCTGGAGGGCTGAGGGAAACTCTCCTTCGCCTAGGACTGTGACTGTCTGGGGCTACACGGTGCATAAGCTCTTACAAGAGGAAAGGCAGAGAGACGAAAGCTTTCAAAAGCTCCTCATCTCCCTCACACCCCTGGTAACCACAAATGCACTTCAGCCTTTTTTAAAATAACAAAACTTCATGCATATGAGAGAATTTAGAAAGTCACACACACATCCACACAGGATATATGCTCAGAAATTTGACCTGAGAATACCCTATAATTTCTTCTTATATTGAGCTACAGGTGTAGTGAGAGCCTGGCTAAGGCCTGAGGGAGGACCCTGCGATGGACGTTTTGAACACCCACTTTGCCAAAACACTAGCTGAACACAAGCTGAGAAGCAGAATCTTCGGTTTACACATGCCCTGAGATGGCAGTCTGCCGAAATAGTTAAATTCACTACAAGAAACGCTCAAGAAAAATAAATGAACAAGAAATGCTCCAGAGAGTCCTTTGGGTTGAAAAGTAAAGATACTAGACAGTAACAATACTATAGAAAGAGAAAAACCCAAAAACTCCACTAAAGGTAACTTCCCAGGTGAACATCTGAGGTCAGTTGGCTGTTACTTTTGCACAGCCTTTCTTGTTCTCCTGAGGTAATGGAGCAAGTTCAGCCTGAGACCTCATCCACAATCCACAGGAAAGAACCGCAGGTCACAGCAGCGAGACAACCATTCTCACGGGGTTGGACAGCCCTACGTACCTGCTAATGTTGACAAAAACAGCTGTTTTTTTCATCTTCTGGAAGAAATCCTTGTTGCAGAGCAACTTGGTCGCAGGTGTTAAGGAGCAGGTCACCACAACGAAGTCAGACTTGGCAGCCAGCTCCTGGGTGGACACTGGGATAGGAGAGGGGTGGGGAGGGCAGGGTTCCATCAGACACTCATCCCAGGTTAGAAACAGGAGGTGGGGGGAGACCCTCTGCTCCTCCCTGCTTAAGAGGAACAGAAGACTTTCCCTGAAGGCCTCATCTCCACTTGGACAACCGTTGATGGTACAAACTCTACAGCTATTTGTGGGATCCTAGTGCATCAGATCATTTCACCAGCCCTTCGGTCTAAGAGATAAGGAAACTGAGACCATAGAGGGGCAGGAGCTTATTCCAGGTCACACAGTGGGATCTGGGCCACTCTTAACTTTCACTGCCTTCAGGGTACATGCCAAGGAGGTGAGGGACTGCCAAACTTGGCTCGCTCACCTGCTATGGGTGTGTATCACCTGGACACAGGGGCAAAAAGGCTGAGCTAACACGAAGGCTGGGGGATAGCACCACTTTATTAGCTAACAGTGACTTAAAGTCCTCATCAATCATCCCTGCTCCTCTGCCCACACATGTGAAGACACTCTGAAAGTCAGGACCTCGAGTGCCCGACTACAGAAAGTTCACTGTGTTACCTGAGGTAAGCCTGTGCTCCTTGAGCAGGTCTCTGCGTCCAGGGACAGGTGGCGCAGATGATGTCTAACGGACAATAAGGCCCTGGCCACACCTGAGCTTCCACCCTCTGCCTGCAGTGGTACCATTAAGAAGGGAGAACGCTCCAGTGGAGTGCAGAGGAGCTCCTGTGGAAATCTAGGTTTTTCTTACCAAACTCTGCCTGGAATTCTTCTGCTTCCTGAGGCCTGGGCTGCCGTCCTGTGTAGAGAAATTTCTGGACGCCAAATGGCTTCAGACGCCGAGCAATAGCCTGGCCTGAACAGAAGGATCAAAGAGTTCATGGTCTGTCCCCACACCCTCAGGGTAAGGGCAGTGGCCAGCGGTCCAGGGCGCCCCTTTTCACATGAATGTAGTCCTGGCATTAGCTTGTTCCGTCTTCTATGGACGGCCCTTGAGGTGGCCTGAGCCAAACCTATAATGTCCTAATGGGCCACATGTCAGCCCTTCAGAGGACAAGGGACTCTGTGGCTGTGACAGGATTATGCTGTCACCCTGTGGCAGTGGCCACCTCAAAGATTATTTATTAATATTCTCTGAAATCTGGACATGGCATTCCAGAAGAGGTCTGGCAAAGTAGGATCCTCCGCTTCTATTAACGCAGCCCCAGAATGCATTTGACTCTTGATGGCATTCCCCACCGCCAACTCACCCAAGCCTACGGGACCTTTGCTAAGGGGCTGCTGCTGAGCCGCCTCCCTGAGCCAAGGCTTGCGCAGCTGCATTTCCAGTTTTAGAGCCATTCCCAAAGCTCCTCCAAGCCGCTCTCTAATGTGAGAGACAAGGCTGCTGGTTGGTTACCGACACTCTATACCCTTACCCTGTGCTCCAGCAAGATACCAGAGAGCCAGACAGCTGCCTGTAAGCTCAAGTCCTTGTCAGACCTCTCGACCACTGGAGAAATACAGCTCCGCCTCTGCAGAACTCTGTCCACAAGGCCTGCCTGTCCCAGGGTCAAGGCTCCCTGGATCAAATGGCTTCTGGAATCTAGACCTGGGGAATATGGACTCCGCTCTTAAAAGCCTCACTGCTTATGGCTTTCTGTAGCTTTTAGGCAGCTGTAATAGTTCAGAATCCTGGCTCTTACAATTTCCTTTTATCACCTAGTGGGTTCTAAAGGAAATCCTGATTTATTAATTTTGATGCGCAGGGGACCGTGTTTTAAGAGGCTGAATCTGGTTAGAGATTCTCCTACTGCATTCCAACAGCTCTGGTGAAGGAAACTCTTTACAGGAGAGTGAAGCTTCTAGACTTGGTGCCATTTAACCTTGAGAGCCAGTGAGGCGGGGGGTGACTCACCTATGCGGCCCAGCCCAATGATGCCCACAGTGCTTTGGGTGAGGCCGTAGCCACACAACCACAGGGGTTTCCAAGAGGACCAGCCACCGCTGCAGGGAGGGAGGGAGTAAGTGAGTGAGAGGGAGAGGCCATGGCCTCTTGCAAAGACAAGGAACCAGACCCAGCAGCCCTAATGTACAAAGCAGACATATGTTACACCTATCGTCATTCTCACACACACTCATAGCCATGGAGTTCGAAGTGACTCCTAGCTGAGCCTCCAGGGGGCTTGTGAGACTGGAAATCCCACAAGAGGAGCCTGCCCAACTTTCTTTCACAGAGCCACTGGTAGATTTGAACCACCAGAGAAGTGTGGTCTTTGCATTAGCCGGGCTATGCAGTAAACACCACCAGAGCTCCTTCAAAGGTCCTCAGGGCTGTAAAAAAGCACAGCAAAACCCCGACACTAGAAGGGGCCTTGGAGGTCCCCATCCCATGTTGCAGATGAGGAAACTGAGACCAGAAAGGTTGACCAGCCTGAGGCCACACAGCCAGTGCAAAGTAGGTTGCAGCAGGTTGTAAATTCGAGATTGGGATTCCAGGACACGTGGTCTCAGGCAGATAGTAAAACCACAGGGCTTAGCCCCTGTGTGTGTGTGTGTGGGGGGGCGGGGCGCAGAAAGAACAGAGCTTTTCTTTAGTGGCCTTCAGTGGAGGTGACAGGAGAGCCAATAGCACGCTTAGTACAGTACATCCTCACCCTGTAGCCTGCACGCCTCCTCGCCCTGCTCAATTCCCTGCCCCTGGAATGTCTTCCCCAACTCTTAACATACAGAGCTAAACCCCTTATCTGAAACCTTGGGCCAGAATATTACATCTGGTAAAAGGCAGTATGGAACACCAGCTACCTTCTCTACAACCCTCAGCAGGGTCTGCACGGCACCCTGTATCAAGCACATTCGCAGTAAAGTAAGCAAGCACCATGAACAGCTGCATGGAGTTCTAGCCTGACTTTGCTAATAAAAGATTTCTGGAAGAAATTTCAGAGATTTTTTGGATTTCAGCATCAGAGGTGAAGGGTGGGAGGGCTGAAGGTCCCCTGAAGAGGATGTCCAACTGTTACTTCTTCCACGAAGCCTTCCCTGATCCACACCTCACAACCACAGAGACTTTATCCACCCTTCCTTTATTGTCTTCTCTCATGTCCTGTTTCTTTCCATTCTGCCCTGTGCTGTAATATCTTGCCTGAGTCTGTTCTCAGCACCCCCTTAGCCCCTACCACATACTGCACGGCCTATGCCCAACTACTGAGCAGATCCGACTTTCTCACCAGACGTTCACTCACTTCTTCACTTCTGCGATGGCCTCAGGTAACCTGCGGCAGGTGGTGAGCAGCAGCGAGACCGCGAGCTCGGCGGTGGCGTCTGTCAGGACATCTGGGGTGTAGCCCACACGGATCCCGCTAAGAAGGAAACATTTGCTAACACTGACCTCAAGCGCCTTCACCAATTTCCACTGCTGGGATCTGTAAAGGCTCCTTTGTCCCTTTTTGCTCTGCCTCCCAGGAAGCTCAGAGCTATAAATGAGCACTCAAGAATGTTCTCCTTCCATCATCTCCCTGCTTTGGGAAGGATATACTCATGGGATATCAGAGTTCACAGGAGAGTAACTATTTAACGTTTCTCAAGTTCTTCATCTCTATAGAGAAAACACTTGCCTTTTCTACCAAGGCACTGTGAGGACCAGAAATGATATTAAATATAATTGACTAGAAAGAATAGGATGCACTAATTCTGATTTCTCGAGTTCAGACTTTGTCGTAATGGGCCTACAGCTCTGTGGGCATATGTTACCATCATATTCCTGCTTACTGGTCGCGGGGTCTAAAGTGGAAAGAACTGAATTCTCAGCTCCTCTTTCTTCCTTTCTTACAGCCGTCCCTCTCTCCAGCCCTCCAGCATCCCAAGCTGCACTTACCGCTTCTTGATTTCATCCATAGCCAAGTGGTCGAAGCCCACGGACATTGTGCTAATGACTTTGAGGTTGGCTCCTGATGGGCAGAAAAAGCAGCCTTTGTATCTTTCCGTGTGGAAATCAAAGCTCTCCTCTATCAAAGGGATAGCCGGTCATAACTATTGTCCTAGAATAAGTCAAGGCTGACATCTCCGTTCCTCCTTTAAAACTCTGGATAAGCCAGGTGCAGAAACAAATGCCAGGTGGCCCCTGAGAATGGCATCACAGGCCCTATTCTTACCCGCTAGATTCTGCGCAGTGAGGCCTCTGCTTTCCATGGGCCATGGCCTGGCACTTTCCCAGGACATTGCAGTGATCATGATCACCAAGAAGGCGAGGGGAACCCAACCCCACAGGCCCTCTCCTCCAGGCAGCTGTCAGAAAGCCTCAGCTCACAGGTGGGGCACAAATGCCAGGCTGGGTTCCACTGTGACTCACAAGAGTCCTCTTCATTCAGCAGCCATGAATTCTGAACCTCTCTTCAAACCATCATGAGCATAAACCTCAAGATGTGGCATTAGCCTGTCCCCAAGCTGGGTCCGTGACTGAAGATGTAGAAACACGCTGGTGCCGGCTGGCGCTTGTCCCTGAGCACAGTCGTCTCCTTGCTCCAGGCCTGGCCAAGGACTGGGGGTGCTGTCCCTACACCTGCTGCCTCCACACATGGTCTTTGCCCTCACAAACTTCCCTCCAGAGAGCCATAGCCAGGGCAGAGGGGCAACACCTGTGTCAGACTGCGAACAGGTATCCCCTTAAATCTTACATTCCAGCAAATGCCCAAAGAAGAATCCAGAAAGACCTTTGCAGGCTTACTCATGGAGCCAGCGGAGGTAGACTGAGGTGCCCACACAGCCGAGTCACCCTCTGAGCCCCTAGACCTTCCCAGTGCACACACCTGCCGTGTCCAGGAGCTTCTTGTCCACACAGTCAGAGAGGAGACAAAGCAGGCCATGGGCCCCAGCCACGCCTCGCTCTAGCTCCTTCCTGGGGATGGGCTCATCTGAATCCCACTGTTCCACCTCACAGCTGCAGGCAAAGAGAAAACCACCCAGGACAAGTAGGGAAGCTCCACTGATGCCCCCCGGCCCCCGAGGTTTCCCACTGTCACCTGTCCTGCCTTTCCTCCCAGAGCTAGAAAGCCCTGCTTGTTCTAAGGCTGGCTGAGAGAGCTGGGGTCCAGCGTTGATGGGGGCTTCAGAACAGTCCCGAGAGGGCCAGTGAGGGGCAATCACAGGACACAGGAAGATGCCAAGGTCTGAGGGGACCCCAAGAGAAGAGCCTAAATTGAAAGTAGCAGACTGTAAGGGGTAACTTTTCACTGAACATAAGGAGGTGTTTTTGACACTAACAGAAGGATGGATGGGTAGTGAGCTTCCTGGCACAGAGTTGGGAGGCCATGCAGGAGGAAAGATCCTTGGAGCAGATGTAGTTTGGATTCTATAATAGATTAAAATGTATCCTCTAAAAAATAAAAATAAAAAAAAAATTCCTAGTCAAGTTCCTAGCCTTGGTAGCTGTGAAAGTGACCTTGTTCGGAAACAGGGTCTCTGAAGATATTAGTTAACCTGAGGTCATCCTGAAGCAAGTAGGTTCGAATCCGAATGGTGTCCTTACAAAAGAGGAGGCACAGAGAGACATGAAGGGAAGGCAGTCAGTGAAGAGGCAGAGAGGGTCTAGATCCTGTGGAGAGAACATGGCCCTGTCAAGACCCTGAAACTGTACTCAAGCTTTCATCTGTGAGATAATAAACATCTGTAAACCAGTCTGTGGGACTTTGACTTGACAGAGCAACTGCATTTCCTTTCCTATGAGACCATGACATGCCAAACACACTCAGATAAGACCATAAAGAAAGCTCGACGTGAAGCAGGTTGAGGACGTACTTCCAGGGCAGCTCCTGGGAACTGGGCCACCTAGCCTCTCAGCCTCAACCATTTCATTCAGGCCATGTATTTAAAAGAAGCCCTAGTGGTAGAGTGGATTAAGTGTTGAATTGCTAACCAAAAGGTTGGTGGTTTGAGTCTATGATCCACTCCTCCTCGGGAGAAAGATGGGATATCTGCTTCCATAAAGAGTTAAAGCCTTGAAAACCCGAATGCACAGTTCAAATGTGTCCTGTAGATGGTTATGAGTCACATGAGTGGGAAATCAGCTTGATGACAGTGGATTTGGTTTGGGGAACATCTGTGAGAAGCTGCTGGAACACACACACTGTGATGCAGTTTTTGTCTCACAGACTGAGCCCCAGACACAGCCTACTTTCCATTCAGTCTACAAGAGGGTGGTCCAGTGCTACAGCAGTGCCGACTATTACTTTTTTTTTTTCTGTTCTGTACCATTGAATCAGATCCTACTGGCAAAGGATGAGATTGCCCCTCCTTCTCCTGCAGAGTATCTGGTGGATTCGAACTGTGTGTCTTTGGGACTGCAGCACAGCTTCTTGCCAGTAGGCCACCAGAGCTCCTGACTATTAATATTATTGTCTGCCCTCCTCTCACAACCTCCCTTAGTAATTAGCTGGTCCTAAGCAAGTTTCATTGCACAGAATGAAATAAAAACCTACTCTCACACTCTTCTCTCCCAAGCTGATTTCACAGACTGGGTCTCACCTTCTCTTGCTGATTGTTAGCTATTGTTAGGTGTCATCAAGTAGAGCACGACCCATAGCGAACCGATGAACAAAAGATGTGAACCCTGTTCTATCTTGCGCCATCCTCACACTACCTGACACACAAGAACTCACTGCAGCAATCACCGTGTCAATCCACTTGGTTGAAGGGCAATGCTGATCGGGTATAATATTAATGGATTGCAATTGGGCAGAGCTGAATTCAAAGCTCAGCTCAGCCACTTAGGAGCAAGCAGTATATAACTTTGGGCTCAAGAAGTGTTTTACATCTTTGAAATGAGAACCATAGTGACAACTCTACAGTGTGCCAAGGGTTAAATTAGTTGATGAAGCACCTGGCAATGTGCAATTTTAAAAGTAGCCACCAAGGTCCTTACCAGCTGTCCAAAAGGGTTAGGACAGGGATGGCCAAGGTCCCTGACCCCCACCTGCATGTTGACGGGCGACCTCTGAGGGTAAATAATTAGCAAGCAACCTGAACCCTGTTGCCTTAGCTGATCTGGAGAAGTGACTGGGAAGGGTCCCAGGGTCTCCTTCCGGTGTCACTGCACTGGCTGCATATAACTTATTTCTAAGAGCCCTAAGCTCCACTCCAATGCGCACAGGTTGGAAAATCCAGCCAAGGCCTGAGCGCCAGGCCCAGCCCTCTCCAGGCCCTTTGGACAGCTCCATGTTACTTCCACCAAGTAACTTGGGCTACTGAAGGCCGTACCCTAAACCACAGGGGCGCAGCTCCAGGAGCACCCAAAGGCGCACCTGGAGATCGCTGAGTCACCCTGTGCGCGGGTGCCTCGGAGCTGGCGGGAGGCGCTCGCACCCGGGTCACCGAGGGCAGATGTCCTCTGGACGCTGCAGCCCCTTGCACCGTCCACCCAGCCCCGTGCGACCCGCGGGGGCCTCTCCTTACTCTGCCGCCTGGGCGAGCGCAGCCCTGCCCTCCGGGGGGATCCTGCGTGTGACAAACACCTTCATGAGTCTCACTGGCCTCATCCAACCGGCAGCCACTGGACACTGACCAACGCGCCGCTGGACGGAAGCAGGACGGGAAGTGGAGACGGGGCCTGGGGGCGGGGCTTGGGGCGGGGCCTCAGCTGGAGGCGCGGGTGACGCGCGCAGGTCCAAGGTCAAGGTGCTGTACTGCACGACGTGGGATCTGGGTCTGCAGTCCATGACGAGGTCTGAAACCCAGCTCTGCCACTTTCAGGCTATGAGATCCCCTTGGCTGCCTAAGCCTCAATTTCTTCAGCCATAGAATGGAGTGAGGAAAACTTTCCTTTGAGGGTTGTTGGTAAGATTAAATCCGTGTTTGCCCAGATTCTGTGTCGTATTTGGTGTTCATCAAGCATTGAGAAAACTGTCGAGAAGGTTCAGGCTACGGAGCCAACAGCTTGGGTTTAAATCCCCCTTGATAACAAGTCATTCAACTTCTGTGTGCCTGTTTCCTCATATGTTAAATGGAGTGCCTGTCTCATGAAATTATTGACATTTTAAGCGAATCAACTTATATGTGGTGCTTGGAGAGGGTTAAACCGGGCTGCTCCTTGGAGGCAAGGATTCTGCGACTTCGTCTGACATACTTTGGACATGTTGTAAGGAGAGACCGGTCCTCGGAGAGGGACATCATGCTTGGGAGGGTGGAGGGACAGTGCAGGAGGGGAAGGCCCTCTGGGAGGTGGACTGAGTCAGTGACTGGGACAATCGGGATGAGTGTGTCAGAGACAATGAGATGGGCACAGGACAGGACAGAGTTTAGAGCT